AAAACGCCGAAGACAATTCTTAATAATCACATTATATGCCAAGCTCTGTATATCATGTTTCGAGTGTTATCTTGTAAATTTGCAAGTTCATTTACTCAGAATTCTTTATTTTTTAATAACAGTGTTTTTATATGTCTTGTCTTTTTATTTGTGTGTTATCAAAATTCAATCGCCAGAAAGACTTTTCGCGATGGCAAGTGACCACATAAAAGGGAAATCAACAGCGGTAGGAAGAAACAAAACCAAAGCATGTAAAACTTCTGAAAGGAAAGAAGTAAGGTCTGCTGTTCCGGGAAGTTAAAATCGCTTCCAAATACATGTCAATACGGTAGTAGTAAAAATTTAGATGTACCAGAGATACAAGTCCTTTTGAACAATGTGCCGGCAAACGCCTTAATTAGCACGGGAGTACACAGTACTTTTGGGGAGAAATGTTTTAAGAGAATATTTTAAATGTTACAGGTTATTCAAAATCAAAGGTACGGCAGGGATTACAGCCCAAGAGATACGCTATGCTTGCATTGGAAAATTGCCACTCCACGTGCAGGTGAAATGTGAGCAACAGAGAGTTATTTTTATTGTAGTTAAAAATTTTCAAGCAACTATCATTGTAGGGATGGATTTTCTCAAATCAGCGGGAGCACGCATAAGCTTTTAAGATGGTATGATCAGTTTGGATATGTCAGAGAAAAAGAAAGAATGTTGTATTCAAGCCTCCAACGTCGAAACTAAAGGTCTGATGACCGAGGATGTAGAGAAAATGGAAAAATTGGTAAGTGATTTTGTAATTTAATTAGCGATTAGCCTGGCCTCATTCATGTAGTAAATCACGCGATGGACAATAAAACAACTTTAACGTGTAGGACTAAGCCGTACCGGTATCACAAAGTTAAAGAACAGATAATTGAAGAACATGTAACGGACATGTTAAAGAACGACATTATTGTGCTTTCTAGCAGCCCATTTACAAGCCCAATTGTGTTATGTCGCAAAACGAACGATATTTTCCCTACTGAAAGCAAAGCAAAGCATTTCGTCATACACTATAAAAACTTAATAATATCACAAAGTATTTCGCATACCCACTACGGATCATAGAGGGTATAATTAGATAGTTTCGGAGCGTGAAAACCTAGTGTTCTTACTAGTCGTACGGCCCACCAGCGGCCGAGCGGTAAAGTCTCTGAACACTGGTAGTTCGGTCCGAGGTTCGAATCCCGCGAACCGGCTGGCTGCATGGGCGTTTTTGTGGTTTTCCCCATGTGTAACGTGTATACGAGCCAGTTTCCCTTAGAAAGTCCTCCACGAAAGGCATCCCTCCCCTTAGGCAGATAGCCCTAGTGTGCTTTGCCATAATTAAGTACACCAACAACACCAACTTACTAGCCGTACAAAACTGAGTACATTTCGTAAAACAGCCAATAACGTTATACATTGATCATGCTGGTATTTACTCAGATTTTAAAAAAAAAAAAAAAAAAAAAAAGTCACCACGCGTGATAAGATGGCACTTAATCTGAAAGAATGCAATTTAGTATTTAAACATTTACCTGGTAAAACTAATCCTGTCGTGGATGCTCTACCTTGCATTAAATTACATGAACAGGGTAATCAAGTTAAATGCAGGACGTTGACTTGAAAAATTTTAGATTCTTCAGATACTATTATCGCTGAACTAAAATCGGACCCGGAAGTGGAAACCATTTACGCGTATCTACAGGATACAGATAACAGCCTGTCATCCCAGCTCTTCTGAGACTTCTTTTTGAGAGAAGAATTACATATGCGCCGATTTCCGGTCACCTCGTATTAGGAAAATGATCAACCGTGTACGAGAGGCGATATTCTTTCCAAAATTGCAAGAAATTGTTAAAGAGTATGTCAGATCCTGTCATATATGCCTAATAGTGTTAATTATTGGCAGGCCCGATAGCTACATAGAATTAGAGCTACTTTACCCAACGAATTGTTAGGTACCTATCTTTCAGAGCCATATCCTCAGAGTGAAAATAATCAACACCGTTATTTGCTTTAATTGTTGATAATTTTAACAAATAGGTAGAAGCAATTCCTCTGAAAAGGGTTTACGCCAAAATAATCGCAAATTCGTATAGTTTCCTATCGACCACAGCACACCAGCGGCCGAGCGGTAAAGTCGCTGAACACTGGTAGTTCGGTCCGAGGTTCGAATCCCGCGAACGGGCTGGCTACATGGGCGTTTTCGTGGTTTTCCCCATGTGTAACGTGTATACGAGCCAGTTTCCCTTAGAAAGTCCTCCACGAAAGGCATCCCTCCCCTTAGGCAGATAGCCCTAGTGTGCTTTGCCATAATTAAATACACTACCACCACCTATCGACCACAATCTGAAATTGCAGAAAAGGTAAATCGCTGTATCGTTAAAATCATTCGCAGTTACGTGAAAACTATCACAGCCGTTGGGATGATTCGGCGCGAGTTTGCATTACGCACAATGATACACGATACAGCTGGAAAAACCCTTCAAGAATTATTTTTATTAAGAAAATAATGACACTTCATGATAGACTATTTTATGTCCAAAAGCGTGCTCCGGTATTTGGCATGTCGGATATAAAAAATTAGTTGAGGAGGCCATTAAATCTTCTGATACGGCAAGAAGTAAATAAAACTATTATTACGATAAAAGGAGGAGGGAATGGAATTTTAAAGCACGGGACAAAGTTTTAAAATTGAAACACAACGTATCCTGCCCCCCCGAAGGAAAGGTTTAAAGTTTTTTCCTAACTTTAATTGGCCATTCATCATTCAACGTATTTGGGAAAACACAGTAATTCTTAAAAAGCGCCAATAGTGAACAATCTAAAGACAATAACGAGCAGATTAAAAAGTATTATGATCATTGTGATATGACGCTTCTTTAAGACTTATTACGGAGTTCCAGTAATGCCGACGGAAATAACATTCCAAGCCAAGAACAGCAAATGGGATCCCAACCCAGCACCACAAGAGATACAAGACGAACGCAGGTCAGAAGCGGAAAAACACTGAAGTTAAGGTGCCAGGTAAAGCAGCTAGTTTTAAGGAAACAAGATTAGAACAATCCTCAATACGGTTCTGCGAACAACCAGAGTACCACCAGTGCTCAGTTGTAAGGAAGCTACAACGCTCAGACGAAGATCCAGAACAATCAGAGTACCATCAGCGGTCAGCGGCGAGGAAGATTCAACGCTCGGCCAAAACCAGGGCGACCAGAATATCACTATCGGTCAGCGAAAAGGAATCTACTACAGTCAGCGCAAGAGACAAGAGTGTTCTCCGGCAAGCAAAAGAGAACGAACGATGTGGAACAAGCAGCGAAAAGCACGGAATCACCCCGCAGACATCGCATGAGGAGTGCCGAGTGGAGAAAGAGACCACTTCCGGAGGATACGTTCACTAGGAAGTCAAGAAAAATAGAAGAGGGTGCAATGAAAAGAAAATTGTTCCCCCAGCCTGAGCAGCAAAGACAGGCAAGATGCCAGAAAATTGCAGCGACAGCCACATATCCGAAATGCGTATGTCTGCAGTACACCCTGTATCCGCTCGTACGGTGTGTTGATCTCTGCAGCAGCGTTAACTATCACCACGGCGATCATTACTTTGTCTTCCTTTGACAATGCAGCATAGAAAGGCACGGCGACTCTAGTGCGCCGGACGACCTAGCTGGATATAGAGTGGCACAATATCGTCTTTTGAGACGAATCTCGGTTCTGCGTGCAATATTGTCATGCCCGTATACGTGTCTGAAGGCTCCGAAGAAAACGCACCTTGCATTCGATATTCGTATATGGACCATGCACCTGGTATGATGGCTTGGGAAGCCATTGGGTTTACGGCACATACATCTCTAGTTTCGATCGACTGTAATTTAAACACAGATCGGTACATTTCTGACATCTTACGTCCAGTGGTTGTGTTCTATCCTCGAGGCCTGCCAACAAGATAATGCAAGAGCACATGTTGCATGTAGTGTTCTGATTTCCTCGACACAAAGGGTATTCGATTGCTGGCTTGGTCTGCACTGTCCCCAGATGTGTCACCCATTGAAAACATCTCGTCAAGGATTGCTGGGATACCTGCCCGCCAAACCTCTCCAGCTAGTACGGTTAACGAAGTTTGATATAGACATGAAGCAGCATGGAATCAGTCGCCTTTTTCTTTCAAAGCCTAGTTAGACTCCATGCCTAACCGGGTAAAGGCCGTTTGTGCTTCCAGGGGAGGCAGGCACCTGTCTCTACTAATATCACACCCCTGTAAAACTTCAGACTGCTTACAAATTTGATCATTTTGTCTTCATGTCGTAATGTTTTACGTAGAATAAATATCTTTTTTTTTATTTCCTTTCCTTTATGGTTTTGCAATTTTAATGGCCAACAGTGTATTATGATTTGGAATTTTACTGCAATTTCTTCTTTGAGCCGTCCTTACCAGAATGCAGTTTACTTACTCAGCTGGGGATTTGAATGTTTCAGGGGTGGAGGTACTGCCTCGTAATTACGTACTGTCGGGCCAGGTCTGCCAATGTTTATTCCAGCTTTATGGAAAAATAATCTTGAACTTTATAAGTTATTGCATTGAGAAATAACCTAGTTGAAATCATATTCAGAAGGGACTGCATGAACATTAAGAACTTATCTTTAATTAGTAAACGATTTTAATGCCAGCTATATTTCTAGAAATAATTGTTCCAATTTTTTGTACGTATCGTAATAAAAAAACTGGCATACGACATGAAATACCTGATAGAAGAACAAACAAACGAAAAAACAAAGTATTTTTCCGAGATCCACCTGTTACAACAGCTCTGCAGTGCTTCCTTATCAATTCATACCTCCAATCATCTCACATATCCGATGACAAAAGAGCAAACAATTATCAAACAATTTTATGAGTCCATCTGTTGCAATGAAAACTCACGTATATCATTTTCTTCAACATGATATTAAATTTTATGCATCATCTTGGACAATAAATACCGCAAAAGTTCACCAGTACTACATACGCATATCTTCGATCATTTCTGCTCTACTCCGTAGAACTACTGTGACCGAGCCGAGAAAATAACGGAAAACCATTGCGATGGAAGCTTACCTAGTGTACTTAATGGTTCTCGTCGCATTCCTGGCTGCAATTTTATCCGGTGAGTTACATTTTCATATTGTTGAAATAATTGCTTTTTTCTTTTTCATTGTCGCAGTCTGTTTATTTAAATTGGGTAATGCAGGGTAATGTTATGCCCGTCATGCTTTTCGGCATCGCTCTTGGGAATAAGTTATGGGATTTTAGCACATTAGATAATTTGACCCTCTCTCCCCACAACAATACATTCCATGGTTTTCAGTAATTTTTCTGGGGAAAATGGCCGTGTAGCTAATATTTTAAAGTAAGAGACTGTAGTTCGTGATATAACAATGAATATTTTATGCACAGTATATTTTGTGCTGTGAAAGCATACTTACTCATGATGTTTCAACACGGCGTTCAATTTCGATTTATTTTATTTTTCCACAAAATATATATCGTTGAATTTTAGTTTACCTTAAATTCGCGCCACACTAAGATGGCTAATTTTAAATAAAATTAGTGTTCTAATCAGTGAGCTTATTGATGTTAAATTCTGTTCACCCTAACCAATATTTTGCTTTTTGTTCATCACTACATTGTTTTCAAAAACGGGTTTAATTTCTTTCATTTAACTGACATACATATTCATATTTTGGAAAAGACCAGAGAAAACGAAAATAATTTCTTCAGGGACAAAGATGCATTTCGTTGCTTCTTTCTAGAAATTAAGTGGAATTTTGCGCTTTGAATAAAATACAGGCCTAATCAATGACTCGGATTTACGATATATTTATTCGATTTTTCCCGGAACGCAGAAATCAGTTACATGTTCAAGTACTATGTTTTTCCCCTTTCAGTCCACCTGCAGCTCATAGTCATAAGAGAATACTATGAGCCCTGCTGACACGCGTTACAGTTGTTTCAGATTTATGTCTCCGTTTCAGGACTGAGAAATTTTGGCAAGTTTCGAAATGAGGCTTTCAGATGACTCAGTATAGTTTTTACTTTCTTTAAATCAATGGTTCTCCAACGTTTTCGTCGATGTGTACTCTGCACACACAAGAAACTCAACATAAAGAGACAACGATCATCATCAGAGGTGTTCTAAATTACGACCCGGGACCGTGATGCAGGAGCCGTGCGTCGTGCATCTTCCATTCGTGGTTGAGATCTTCCATGCGCTACATAAATGAAACTTCTATCAGTGTCAGGGGTTCGTACTTTCGAACACCTTCTTTAATGACGATCATTGCTTGTTTTTGTTCTGATTTAAAGGTTTCTGCTGTTTTAAACATAACGAAACATGTTTTTCCTGACTGTTTGTATCCTTCCTCTTTTGCGTTTTGTGTCGTCACTACCCCGCCAGGAAAGCATACATTGCTATGCGATTTCCAATGTTCTAGGTATACTCTATCTCTCCTGAAAGTTTGCCACCGCTGTACTGATACACCCAGTATATCCAGTTCTCCCGGGCCGACTGACGAAATTTATCTTGCGTTTTCCATGTCTTGAAAGCGAGATTTAAAATATATATTAGATTTATATGTAGCATTATCAAGACATAGTAGGTATTTTGACACAAAGTAGATTTTTTTCTGAAATAATATACCAGGCTTTTTTTCTATATTTCAATTCTTCGACTCGAATTACACCAAAGTGCCTAGATTTGAAAAAATCTCAGGAGCAGGTTTCAAGATACAAGCTCTCAAAATTTTACCTCCTCAGTGTTAATTAAATTTGTATATATGTTCCTTAATCTCTCTTTTTTATTAAATTTACCATTTCCTTCTTTCACAAATCGAAATTCTGTTTAATCAAAATAAATTCGCAAATGTTTTCTGATTTTTTTAATCATACTTTTTGGTAAATTTTATAAATTCTTCAAAATAATTTTTTGCTTATAAAATGTAAAGTTTTTAACATCATCTTAATCCGCGAGCGCGCACGCTGAGTCCAACGGACCCGCTCGATTAAAAAAAAAACATTTCTGAAAACGCCTCTATTTTTCCCAAGTGTTTGTGGTTCAGTATAGTCTTCTTCCAGGCCATCCTCTTTATGTTTCCGAACTACTAGTTCTTTACATAAACATTATATTTCTACAATACGCTGTAGCTTTGTACTTTCGCCAAATAAAACTAAAATTACTTTAGTCCTCAACCGAGGCAATTGACAATGTAATATAGTGTTTGAAAGGTTTTCATGTAACTTTACAAACAGAAAATATTTTTTGAAAAATTCACTCATCTTTGTTTTTCGTTGCTTGATATTCAGCTATTGGTTTTCGTTGCTTGATATTCAGCTATTGTTTTTCGTTGCTTGATATTCAGCTATTGTTTTTCGCTGCTTGGTATTCAGCCATCCTTTTACTGCAGAAGTCTTTTCATGTGAAGTTATTCAGATTGGAGATTTTTATCTCTACTTTCCTTCCACTCGTTGGAGTTGGCCTTGGCTCTCTTCTTTGCCGTGTACCGAATCCTTGCGCTATTCTAGTCTTGTCTGATGCAAGACCTTCGCAGGGCACGGACATCCTTTTTCTTAGTTGCGGCCTTTCTCCTCGGCGATCCTTCATCCCTATTTTTTTTCCCCGTGGACCTTCCATTTGTCGAGGGATTCTGTTCTTTGGAACTCTTCGGGTTGTCAGTGGCCTTGTCATCTGGTCGGTTCTTTACCTTTTTTCCAGTGCTGGAAGCGTTGGTGGGGCCGAAACCGCCTTTGATGATGTCGTCTCTTCTGATTCGGAAACCTGCAAGAAAGAGGTTTTCCAGCTTGGCTCTTTGCCTTGCTTTTGATGCTGGAGGTCGACTTCTGGTGTGCTTAGGTCTTCCACCACCTTCGGTACTATTCACAAGTAGGGGAAACTAAGCTACAGAGCTTAGAAACCTCCTGTTAATTATAACCGCGTCAAAACTAGTACCAGCAAAGTAAATGCTGTTATGCCACGTAAACCAGCAATAACTGCGAAAGTAGAAGCTCAGTCTACAGAAGTGACGGCAATAGCCTGAACTCCCTAACTTTCCTTCTGAAACTCGGTATTTAAACTCTTTCTCCACAAGGTAGAATTTGCATTTCTTCACGCGGGCTACCAAATTTAAATATTCTGGCATTGATAATTAGGGTAATGAAGGCGTATAGGAAAGAATGTAAAATTAAATAAAATTAGTTATTTAAAATAAATATAAATCCCTACTAAGTAATCAGATTTTTCTAATTTGTACACATAGTTTTGGTACATTCATAAAAACTGAGTTCATATTGTGAAACTTGAAAGAGGAATTTTTGCATTAAAATTTGTGAGTCGAATTATCTCTTTTGCAATATTTTTTACTCTTGGTTCGCTAAATTAACTGCTTCTTCATGCTTTGCACACTGGATGTTTCCATTCCTTTTTCGCTTCCGACATGAAAACATGCGTTTACAGATATTAATGTAAACTAGCGGGCTAGGACCTAAGTAAAATTTATAAGTTCTATGTATATCTCATGGGAAAATGTACCACAATATTTCAATATGAAACTTTTCAGCTTTATTTTGGCTTGATTAACAATTTTCGGTCATACAAAATACGGATTGTACCAATATTGTCGTATAGACAATCTGTGATTGTAAAAGTACTTCTCTGTATACTGCTGTCAAACTCTCAATCCTTGATCATCATGATGAAAGGAAGCTACATATATCTTCGGCTTCATATTAGGATATAAGGTACTGATATCAATGAGACCAACACATCTTTAATAAATTGCAATATCACTGTTTTATATAGGGACGTCATCTGCATTCTTGAAAGTAACTGTAACTTCATTTTGTTTCGGAGCGTTGCAACATCCTCTGTGCTCACTTGTAACAACACTTGATGTACATATGGATAGCAGCAGGAATTTCAGTACCTTTTCTCATAGAGTTCCTTCTTCAAATGTTTTTAGCATCTTGCAGTCTTCTTCATATGTATTCACATTACTTAAAACTACATCCAGATGTGCCAGAAGTTCAGGATTCATAGCAACATTTTTAAGTATATTCATTCTCAGCCTGAGGGATTGATCCAAATTTAAAACATAGAGATGTTCGTGCTATTTGGGATCAGGATGAAGTAATGTGGTTCGCTTGATGATATATGGCACCATGAATTTTTAAACAATAGGGACCTGAAACTGTAGACATTTCTATATTGGCACTCAGAGATACAAATCTAAGAAGACAGTTATCACTACGTGTGTAAGCAAAAGCCCGTAAGAAAATTCGTGGTTCCTATTCATTACATTACGCCATTCTTCTGAATATCTTGTTTCAGCTTCTAAAATTTACCTATTGTGACAGCAGTGCACGTGTCTTCCGTGTTCATTTCTACTGGAAAGAAAAGTCCATTGTAGAGATCGCAACAAGCTTCCATTGAATCGACATCGCGCTGCTCAATGTAAACTTTCAATCCATATTTTCTTGCATTATGAAGAGTGCTAGGTAAATGTCGTGCCGTGTCCATGCGAAGCCTTTCTTCTCATATAGCCATTGTTTCTTCAGATCGGTCTGTGAAGCGTCTTTCATTCGTCGTTTATTGGCATCCTGTTCTAATTTTTTCACTCCAATCTCGCGATCGTTCTGAGAGTCATGTGTCCTTCTTCTGCTTGTAACTTCTTCTGTCTCTTCATCAGGTGTTATCTGTTTCTGTTCCACTTGTTTGATGAACCTCCTACTCGTTCCTGCTTTAGGTTTTTAAAGTGTAAGCCCGTAAATCACATTTACTTGTTTTTCTGCTTGTCCGATGAACCTCCTACTTTGCTTCAGTTCCTTTGGCACGAAAGATTTCTTGTCGATGTGCTTGCCTGCTGAGTATCCTTCGCCGTTTCTTCTTTAGTTTCTTCAGTGTTTTTGCTATTGTGCTTGACTAGTCAGTATCCTAGTCGTTTCTTCTTCAGTTTCTTGAGCACGCAAAGTTTCCTTTTGTTTCTTTCCTGCTCTCTTTCCTTATGGTTTTTTGTTCATTTTCTATAGCTCGCCGTAACTTTTGTTCTTCAGCTCTTCGTATTCTTAACGCATGTCTTGTAATGCTTCTTTTGCGTTTTGGTATTTTAATGACTTCAAAAACAAACAATACTGTACCAAAATTATAATTCAAATAAAACACATTGAATACTTATAAAAGTTTAAACTGTACTCAAAAAGGAACTATGCAATAAAATAAATTAAATACTTGTATATAAAATTATTAAAATGAAGTGAAAAAAGTGAAAATAAAATGAACAATTAATTTAGTGCACTGTACAGAAAGTTGCAAGCTGTGGCAAAAGGAAAATTTACAAGTTCTATACTCTCCGGAAACGAAATGCGTAAAAAACCGTATCAATAAAATGAGTTTATTCTTCCGAGCAACAACCAATTAGTAATTTTTTTCTTGCGAAACCAGAAAACAAAACCATTTCAGATCGCGTATAACGTCATGATTTAAATTTAATATAATATAATAGCGTTTTCGTAATATCAGTAAAAGAATGAACGTGGCCGTAACATATCTACTCAACTATCCTAACCTGAAGCAAAAAGTTTCCAACAGCAACTACTTATTTAAAATGCTGACATAGACGAAAAATATTCGGCGCGCAATGGCGTCACACGCAATCCGCATACTTTCTTCAACGTCAGAATATAACCTTATATAATAATAATATATTTAATGGCTGGCAATCCTATTTTTATTTAATATTTTGCAAAGCGTATATTTTTTAACAAACTCTGTCATTCAAAGCTATCAATGACACCCACTACCTTTCGAAATAAAACATATTGTTATCCCCAGCGTGGGCAACTGTTGCCACTCGGGAAAAAATAAGTGCGAAAATTAGCGTTATCAGAGTTGTTAGTTAATATCTCGGGTGATTAAAATCGTAAGAAGATGAGACTTGTCCAAATGGCTTCCAGGAATTTTTGGAATCCGCGGGTCCCTCTCTTGAAGCATAACCCTCCTACGTTCGGGAGGAGACAATGCCACAAGTAAACAAACAAAAACACTACAGACGGGTACAGATTCCAATGGTATAGATTATTTAAAATGCTGACATTAAGGAAAAATGTTCGATGTACAGTGACGTCACATGCAGTTGCTTGCTTTCTGCAGCGTCATAATATGAATTTATATATCAATATATGTAATGTTTGGCAATGTTATTTTTCTTTCATGTTTTCCAAAATATAAAAATATTTTATTAATAATCTCTGCTACTAAATTTTGAAATAAAGCAGATTTTCATCTCCAGGGTGCGTGACTATTGCCCCGCGGAAAAAATTAGGGCAGAAGTTAGCTTTTTCTGAGTTTTTAATTAATATCTCGGGTGATTAAAGTTGTACCAAGCTGAGAATGGTCGAAATCACTTACCATGAATGTAGTCTGCGGGCACCTCTAACAACATTCAAATCTCCGTCGTTTTGTAAAATATAAAAATTGCTTATTAATAATTTCTGCTACTAAATTTTGAAATAAAGCAGATTTTTGTCTCCAGTCATTGTGACTGTTGCCACGCAGAAAAAATGAGTTCGAAAATTAATGCTTTCGAAATTTTTAATTAATACCTCGGGTGATTAAAGTTGTACAAAGGTGAAAATGATCGAAATGGCTTACCACGAATGGAATCCGCGGGTAACCTCTCTGAAAATTCATTCAACTCTCCCTCGTTCCGCAGGAGATAATGCCACAAAAAACAGGCAGAACCGCATATATTTTAATAGTATAGATTCACGTCTACACTAAGAGATATATTTCCGAAAATTTATCTCTGCTAGTCTACGACTTCTACGCCAAGCGGTCTACGCAGGGAAACATAACTCTTTAAACGAGATACATGTCTGAGGCTCCGGCATACCAGTCGATTGCGATGATAATTGCACATGATGGAATACATTGCCGCCGGAAACATATTTGACGACAAACAATGAAACTGTAAATCGAAATCACATGTCCGAAAAATAATTGTGGCTACTCTCAGCGTTCAGCTTACTGAACAACGTGGCGCGAAACGTTTTGTGCTTGTTATTATTCTAACAAATTTCATTAATTTATGATGAGGTACTTCCTTCGAATAATAATTTTGTTTTGATTTTTTTGATAAATATATTATTTTCATACCTTGATAAAAGTGATTTGCTATTGTAAGCTTTAAAGCGATGCACTTTTTTGCTTCGCTTTTAGCATTAACTAAATCTGATGGAATATATTTTCCTATTTAAAGGCATTGCTATATCCTTATGATCCCGGAAGTCTTACAAGAAAATCCTAACGTATCGTTTGTTTGCATTAGACAATATTTCCGATTTTTTGTTAGTGATTTTTCAGCATTTGATTTAGGTCTAGTTAACTCGATGTCATTTACTGAAGCGCTTAAACGTTCCGTGAAACAACAAATTGTGAGCACGAACACAGCTGAGCTATTTTCTAACTTTTCCCACTAAATGTAAATGTTTTATGACTTCTGTAATTGACAGAGTTCTATTAATAAATTTTTTGATGGAAAGTAAAGTAATTGTACGTAACTTTATTATTTTAAATATATGCTTATATCAATTACAAAATAATTTTATTTTAATTATGTAAGCATAATTATTAGATTTTTCCGTTATTTAAAATGTGCTAAAATATATTATTCCTCTTTAATGTACTTAAATTTGCTTTATTATGGTGAAGTGTGTTAAATTTTATGCTACATATTAAGTAATTACTCTATTTTCTTCTTTTAAGTAATGATTATACATATATATATAGAGAGAGTGTGCGTGTATGCAGAAAGAAATATTGATAAATAGATATAGATTTATGTATGCATTACATTTGGTAATTAATCGCTTTGTTTTTTTCCTTTATTAATCTTATTTGTTTTTAATTTACACTTTTGAATTATACATGTTTTTTATTCTTACGTTGGCCGCGCTTTTTTCCATTGCTGTTATATTTAGAGGTGATATTTTAAAATTGATTTGAAGTAAAAAGACATCGCGATCTCTCAATAAAATTCATTAGATCTCGGAATGGAACAAAAGGAACGCGTAGTAAACTGGCTATGTTGCTTTCATGAAGGATACATAATTGACTGAAAAATTGTATACCCCTGAGTATACAATTTTGTTGCCATACTTTGGCATATTCTAAAAAAAAAATAAAGTAGTTGCCATACTTTGGCATATTCTAAAAAATTAATTATTTTTACTATGATATTAAGTAACTCATTTTCTTGGTGAATAATTTGGGCTGTACCAAAGCTTTAATGCTTTATTTTGACTGGAAAATTTATTTTACGTTTTCCGCTAGGCAACAGCTATTAAATATTTCTTACTGTAGAGTTTGTGTAAAGTCAAGCTGAACTGTTTATAAATCATAGCTTATATTTACAGCTACATATAATATTGTATTCATTATAGTTCAGAGAGGAAAGGTTCAGAAGTTAAGGGAGATATGTCATCTGCCTCTCTTTTAGGAGCTGGCATGTAGTGTAGCTTAAAACCCGTACAGGTGTGCTAATAATTATTGTTAGTTATTAATTTCAAAATTATTAATTTTATTATTATTATTACTGCACAATTTATTGTACTTAATAGTTTAATAGCGCAAAATAAATTCTCGCATATGTTCTGCTTTTGGCTGCAGGAAGCTGTCTTTTTTAAAATGATTCCGATCTGTGCTGCTGCTGCAAAATCCTGGGCGATGCAAAGCACTTCCTTGAAGTGTTCCCTTTAAACTAGGGAGTGAGAGATTCCGGTAATCTTGTTAACGGAAAACACTACTAAATATGTAAATTGTAACAAAAATCATAGCTTATATCATTACTATTGTTTGATGCCACTACATTCGACGCGGTTTTAATTAGCAAGAGTTTTCTGAACTCTGTAGCTTAGTTTCTACTACTTGTGAATATTTTCGAATTTTAGTTTAGTTCCTGTTACCGTCCAAGTGAGGCGTAGTGTTTTAGCATTATGCTCAAGCATTGTGAATTTTAGAGTTTAATAAAGGGTAATTTTAACCCTTCTCCTGTGTAGTTTATACACGAATTTACGACACGTACAGTTGTCGTTTAGAAGATAAGCAAGTGATCCTACAATGTCTTGAATATTTTTATGCAGCGCCTTGATCGCAACAGTGGTTTGGTGCTCCTGACTGTTGTAGCGTTTATAGGGCTGATTCGTATTCCAGAGAAGGCATGAATAGTTTTAAGAGTATAGTGTCTGCGCGGATTTGGGGCAGTCAAAATTCACGGCAAATCGTATGTACTTTCGCATGGATTGGCAGTAGGAGCAGAAGGTGAGAGATACATGGACATGTTCCCTAAAATACTATTAATTATAATCAAGCTTAGGCATAGTGTACACTGCATGGTGATCAAGGCCCATTCCAAAGATAGACGCAAACTTCCGTTCTTTGCTATGATAAAATTAGTGGACTTGCTCTGATTCAATCAGGCAAGCGAGACAATAATTTATCCAATTTTTGTTTTTGAATGTGTTACTTTAACATAATTTCATCTCATTTTGAAATTTCTTCATTAGCATTACTTACTGTTAATTTAATGATTGATATTTTATATTCGCAGGGTCTGTAGCACAAGATAGCCAGATAAGGGATGCTTCGTCAAGAGACATTCTTGATTCTGTTTTGGGGGAAGCTAATAATGTAGTATAAAATTCAAGATTAGACTTCACTCCACAGTGAAATCCAAAGACTACCTAACATTCGCTAAGAAGTCCTATTTAATGAACGATTGTGAAATCAATATTCTTTGCAAAATTTATGTCTAGATGCAAATAAAACAATTATTAAATTAAGTACCTTAATGTTTTCCGATTTTCTTATAAATATTCCACTTGTATATATCGAAAATTCTTTTATTCCTTCAAATCTGTATATGAATATACACGTTTTTGTGGATAATAAGCTGTTATAACAATATGAATGTATGAAGTAAATTTGCAATTTATGAACAATACTTTTACAATTTCAATATTTTCATTGCAAAGCAGTTTCTTAAGAATACTCGCAAATTCCGATTTTTTGAAGAGTCGAATAATACTTTACATTCAAATGACTAAACATCATGTGCAACGTTCAACCCTTGTTTTAATTCACCAATGATTTGTCTCAAAAACTTTTGATGCGTTATTATCGATGTTATCTTGTCAAAGCACACAGGGAACTCAATACATTTTACTGTTCAGTATTGATGTTAACTAGTTGATTGCTAGGAAAAAATTGAAATTTTTCGATAGCCTAATGATTTGTCACAGAATGGTTTAATTAATCTTATTTTTGAAAGCAAGTTTTTTTTAAACGCAAAGATTCATGAGGCGAGTGCGTCCATGTCATACATATTTTTTTCACTTCGATCTTCCTTTCCCGTTGCAGTTTTCCCTCTTCCCCTTTCTGAATCATATTAACCAAGGTACTGATGCCACTATTAAATATGAAAATAATAGTATTCGGAAACTTTAAACTTATTTTTCGCAAGACAATTTTTTGTTTCGCGATTATTCGTTGATCGATTTCAATTTCGCATATTTATTCTTTAACATAATTAACCATATTTTGAGGTTGAATACCATTAAAATCAATAATAAATACATTAGAAAATATTAATAAAATATAAATCGATTTTTTTTCAATGTGTAATGAATCCTTAATTTTCGATATTTTTAACTTACAATCTGCCCAAGATGATACGAAAATGTTTTATGACACACGAAAAACGTTTTTATGATAGCATTTATTGCCCATATTGCATTTAAAAGTTTTAATTGAAAGATAACTATCCCTAATATTTATAAAGATTTACGCTATTTATCGGGGAAAAAACGCTACTTTTCTTTTATCCTTGTCTGCACTTTTTTCTAAGTTCTAAACATATCTCAGTTCTTAGAAAAGCAAGCAGTGTAACAAGCTCCTAAGCATATCTTAGGAGATTATAGTGTATCATACAGGTATCTTTGATCCAAGTAACTGAGTGTATTCTCTAATTCAAGGTTTGTTATATATCTAGTAACATAAGAATTCAGTTCAAGGTTGACTGAAATTTTGAATTATTCCCTATTAAAAAGGAAGTTTCTTACTTTGTAATGCGAGCATATTGACAGCTAAATATGAAACACTTTAGACTGATATTTATTAAAATATTTATGATATATTAAAATAATCACTAAATAACAAACTTTAAAAATAGAAAATAAAAAGGTACTTAAATTTCCGAAGAAGGAAAAAAATTTGTCAAAAATTATAATGACGATAACCACCTCTCTTATATTTGTTATATTTTATTATGAGACATAGAAAAATACACATTTGTAAGAAAACAATTATAAACATCGTTGTATCTTACTACACCTTTCATTTACCACACCATATAGCTTTTCGTGTTTTATAAAGTATGTATATTTGGAGGAATATTACAAGAAAATATCTTCATTACCAATTGCATGTTTTCATAGACATCCTGGCTTTTTTTTATCAGATTTATTACTTTTTAGCTACGAGTAAAAGAATTTGAATCCAAACAGAGCGAAAAAATTGATATCTACATTTTGACAAAAACCACTGACAATTAAAAAATTTGTATCTTTAAATAAGATTGATATCACAGTGTAAATTAATTAGCTACATTTCTAAATTTCCTGTGTGTAACTCACGTTCGTTTTCGGTATAAAAATAATGTGAAATTGGACTCCGAACCATAAAAATCTTATTTTTTTCCAAACTTTTGTTATCATAATTAATTTACGGTAAATGTAAAATTTTTTCGATGGCCGCAGATATTTCGAAACCCCTTCTCTAAGCCTCTGGAAACATATTGTACTTTATACAATAAAAGACATGTATATTATAGGATATATATTCTCCTGAAGATATATTTTCCAAGCAACCAAACGACACTGCCGACTCGAACTACTCCTCTACCATCCACCAAACGTTGCCTTTTTTAAACAATGAAATAATACATTCTAGTTGAATAAGAGCTACTTGCGAGAACCTTGGACGTAATTACTGACTTTAATCATAAACGGCTTCCTTAGCCAAACCCTTAGCTTCCTCATTTGCAATAAAACTAGCATGGGTTTATAATCCATCAGAAATAGACTTCATGACTATTTGACAACACAAGTTTTCTTTTGTATCATTAGTGAACATATTTTTATGAATAGGTTCGTATAAGGCCTGAAGAGAAGATAATAAAAGAGATCCTGAAGAAAATAAAAAAAGTATTAGTTAGGATAATTATTTAAAATACAGCTTCTTGCAGCCCATATCAGAACCTATAGAAAAATTAATTTGCGCTATTAAATAATTAAGCACCATAAAATGTACAGTAACAATAATAATAATAATATAAAAAGTAATGTTGAAAGTAATAACTAACAGTTAGTATTATTATACATGTACGGGTTCTATTATCTGTTATTTTGTCAATTACTGCAAAACACATTGCAACCTGTAACGGTTCTAAGCTATTCTAAATGCCAGCTTCTTAATGATAGATAGATAGCATATCGCCCTTAACTTCTAAACTTACCTTTTGCCCTTTATCCTCTGAACTATACTGAATACAAACTCATATGTAGCTGTAAGTGAAACAGTTAATAACAGTTCAAGATTGACGTTTACACAAAATCTACAGTAAGATAAACTTAATACCGCTTTCGGGGAAAACATAAAAATAAAATAAATTTTCCAGTCAAATTAAAGCTTTGGTAAAGCCCAAAACATTCACAAGGCAAAACGAGGTACTTACGTAACACGACAGTGAAAATAATCCAATTTTTAGAATGTGCTAACATCTGGCAACTATGCGTATAAATGTGTTCAGGTAAATCATGCATTCTTCATATATACAGCGTCGCCAGTTTAGTATGCGTGTTTTTGTTTGCATTCCAAGTTCTAACAAATTTCACCGATAAATCGCTATTTTTTTGCATTCAACTCAATACTAAAATATGAATTCCATATTTAACAACAATTGAAAAAAGTGCTACAAAATTATGAATAAAAAATCAATATTTAATAAAGAAAAACACAGTTTATTTCCAGTTTATAAAAATTCAAAAAATATGTGAATGCTTTTACATTTTATATTAAGCCCAAAGGGTCTGTTTATTATCGTTTTGTATGTTAACTTTAGTTAACATAATTTATTTAATATCCTTCCCTTCGCACTTAAACCACAAGTCAACAACAATGCCACAAAATATTTAGAAAAAGCCTATCTTTAGAATTTCCGATACAGAGTCTCGCGCGCTGGAGATATGAATGTTTATTTTTTCATACCACTCGGTTTGAAATTGTTGATTGTGTTAATCAAAAATTTGTTAACGTTTTACAAAATAGGAAATATGCATTAAAATATATTCCAATTTTGCGCTTCCATATGGACATATTCGAGTGGAGGAGAACGTAAAAAAAAAAAAAAAAAAAAAAAAAAAAAAAGAACTTACAATACTGGAGGGAGATGGTAGCCGCTACTTTAGTTTTAATGTGAAATTTGACATTGGTTTTGCTTGATTAATGCTTCGATATCCCGTTTCATCGGTGTTGTTGCAATTCATAAAGTTTCCTCCAAATGTCTCTCTGTCAGCGGTGTTTTTATTTTAAGATTTTCATTTTACTAAAACACTGCGGAGGTAAAATCCTAGTATGCGGTGCGGCCTTGGCGCGATTTTTAAAATTGTCGCCAACACCAAAATGATGCGTTTACGTTTGTCGCCAAATTTTTGGCAACCTCAAAGTAAAGCGTCACTACAAGTTTGAGTTGGCAAAAAAAGTAAACAAAATGATAGTCATAATATAATAAGCATACGGTGAGACACAAGAAAAAAAGCAAGCATTTAGAAATAGAAAATAATCTTTAGCAGACTTTATAACAAATAAAAATATAATTTTGAACATGCATCGCAACAAATACAAAACATTCACATATCAAATATAATAAATTAAATGCCATGACTCAGTGTCACATATGTTTTAGGGTCTATATCATAACTCAAATGCCATGGCCCTCAAACTCGGGTGGCGGATATATTGCTTTTATAGATAATATAAAGTCTTTCATTTTTTCGGATAACGATTTATTATTTTTCAGGCGCCGCCACATATATTCCGCCAAACCAAATAAGAGTCAAACTCTTCGCTTACCTTTTTCGTCCCCTTCATCCCACGCTTAACAGCACTCTAAACGTTCCTTCCAAATCCTAGTATACGGTGCGGCCATGGCGCCGATTTTTAAAATTCGGCAGCAATCCGGCATCTACTGCCCATTGAATTACAGCAAGCTTTCCTTCCAGTTCTAACTTCTAAAAAAATTTCGTGTTTAAATATTCGCAATCCATAGTACTGCACATCATAATCGAAAAGTAACGTTATCCAACTGTAGAACAAAATACGTTAGCAAACAGAACTGTAGAACAAAATACGTTAGCAACTCGAACTGTAGAATAAAACACGTTATCAAACTAAAATCATATTCAGTATCTGACCAAAAACTGATTAATTAAAAAAATTAACCAATCAGAAAACTCGGCGGAACCACTACTGTTATTTTAAAAAATACAAAAATAAAAGATAAATAAATTTTACCTGAACATACGTTATCCTTTCTCATTCAGTTCAGCCGAAGACCGAAGATTAACGGAACTTCAAACAATGGTTTGAAATAATTCTTCTCTTCCATCTGCACCAATCAAAACTTCCCAATTTAAAATATTTAATGAGCATGCGCGAAAATGATCCCAAATGCACTCTCCTCCAGAGCGCACAAAACCGGCTTGGTTACCACAATTGGCGCGCTTAT